AGCCAGCCCCCCCCCACCCCCGGCCCTGCTCCACCCAAACAACCACAGGGGGCCTGTAACAGGGACAATTCAACTTCCTGTATTTCCAGTAATTCGGGGGTGTGTGTGGGAGATGGAGTAGAAAAAGTCTGCTGCACAGCACTGCTGTGAGCAGATACTCCCCAGGAACAAGCCTGAAGGGGCCATGCCAAGGGCTGGATGATTTAATAACTCTGACAGAAACAGTCCGTAGATATAAAAGACCACCATGCATGGTATTAAATGGCAAAATTCTTTCTCTCCTTCTCTCCCTCCCTTCCTTCCATACCTAGCACCATCTTAGGTCTCACCGTCAGGTGTCCTGCCTTCACCTCTGGGGCCTTCTCTCCTGGCCAGATGCTCTAGGCACCTGAGGTTCCTGTTGCCACAGAGTCGTGGGGTAGGACTGTGAGTTTCAAAGTCAGACAGCCCACTTCTCAATTCTGGCTTTGCTTCTTACTAGCTGCAGACTTTGGTCAAGTTTCCTAACCTCCTGACTGACCCGTTTCCCTCAGATGAGGATAAACTAGAACTTACCCGCAGGCTTTGTGTGGAAGTCAAGGATGGTGACTGGGGAGTGTTTAGCACAGTGCTGGACTAGTCCTACATTAACTCTTGGCTCTTATTACTTGTGTTACCAAAAAGGTCCCCTCCCCAGTCTGGGGGTGGTAAAAAGAGAAAAGTTTGTTCAGGTAAACAATTTGCACACCTAGGACATACAACCTGTGGTAAAAACCCAAGGCACAAGTCTCTGAGACAAACAGGAGGCCCACTTATATAAAGTGCCTACCCTGGCCCGACTGGTCCATTTGTATGCAAATGAGGAATCCAAATTTGCACATTTCGATTGGTCCAAATAGCACTGTCCTGATTGGTCCAAATTGTGCATCCTGATTGGTCATTATGACGCTACTCTGATGGGTTGGTGAAAATGCAAATGAGGATATGGCTGTGCATCTCTGATTGGACAGGGCAAGTCTCAGCCCATTGGTCAAAATATGATTCCACAAACTCCTTTATGAAGTGCAGCTCTGCCCACAGAGCAGTGCAGAGTCATCCCACCAAGAAGGTCTCCCCAACTTTTCCCAAGTGGGAAGTGTCTTCTCTTCCTGGCTTGGGGCAAGCAGTTACTTTCCTCTTAGCAGGAGAGCAGCCTTCAGGCCCTGCTGGAGTGGGTGAGAGGGTGCCAACAGTGAAGGCCAATGCGCGGGGCTGCGGACTCCACCTTCCTCAACCAGAGCAACCACCACTGCATCTGTCTGTACATCTGCTGATACACCTGCATAAGATTTCATTTGAAATAAGGGTCCTTAGAGGAAACAAATGTTGACCTCAGTGAGTTGGATGGTGGGTGATGTCAAGCAACCGCAGGGCCGGGAAGGGTACAGGACGACTCGCCTCGATGCCCTGAGAATGCTGGGCACAGAGCAGGGGCTCGAAAGTTGTGGGACTTAGGAGCGCCTGGACTGAAGCTTTGGCCGAACAACAGTGCGTCTCGAGGGATTCTGACTGTCAGGACAAAGCGGACCAAGAGGACCAACTGGTAAGGAGGGGCACTGCCACGTCTTGGCTGGCAGCAAATCGGATGCTGGCATAGGAAATGAAAGGCATGATCGCTCACCCCAGATGGCGGGCCCGAAGGCAAATCTAAATGCTTCAGAGGGAGAAAGAGCATCATTGCGTTCTAAGGGCCTTGGGTCTCAAATGGGGTGGTTCTGGCTGGGGCCCAAATCCGAGATCTCAGTTCGGGACAGGGAAATGGAAACCACTTGACCTTACAGAAGAACCAAGGTGCTCAGGCAAGTACTGGTTTTATTCTACCCACCTCGCTTCCTTAGAAAGGGAGGTGAATAGTAAAAAGTGCATTTTTTTTAAAAAGCAAAGAATGCCAAGACTGTAAGCTGAGACCTCACCTGTGACTGGAGTGAAAGTCACTGAATCACGGTTACTTCACGCAGTAAGAAGCACCGTCGGTATCGGAGGAGTGTAGACCTTTGTAAAGCCTGGAACCCCTCCCCTTCCCCCCCGAGAGGTTAATCAAAAACCGTAAGGTCACCTCCCCTGTGATGGCTGTCTCCCTGTCACCAGGTTGCACAGAAGTCCCAGGTGAAGATTCGGCACCTCAGTGGGGTCAAAGAGTTGGGGCTGTGGCTCGGGGAGGATGCTGATGGGGCCCGGGGGTCTCTGAATCTTGAAGCAAAGGGGCAATGCGGTGTGGGCCATGTTTGAAGAACTGATGCAAGTCTTTCCAGAAGCAGATGATACAGGGTAAGTATGTGTATGTGTTTGTGCTGGGTGCAGGGGTTCTGTATTGCTGGTGACGCCAACTGCCTTGCCCACCCAAAGTAGGACAAGGAGAGCCCCCTGGTGGCCCGGGCCAGGAGCACAAAGGAGAGCATCAAGGAGCACGGTTCTGCAGTCTCCCTGCCCCAGGAGCCCGGCAGCCCTGCCCCACGGCCCTGTCCAGCAGTGCGTGTCCCCTAGAGCTCCTGAGCCGCCTGTCCCACAGCCGGCTCCTCCACGGGTTGCATGGCCTCCTGCACGTAGACGATGAATTCCGAGGCCTCCCCACCCTGCGTGTAGACAGTCACCGTCTCGATGCCCTCCACTTCATCGGATGACACGACCAGGTGGTGCTGCTCGGCCAGCTCCACGGAGGCCTGCTGCAGGGTCTCCTGAATCATGACCGTGTGGTTGGAGCTGGGCTCCTCATCAGTGACCTGTGGGGGAAGGGAGAGAAAGGTCACACGGTTCTGCTTCTGGGTCCAGCCATGACAACAGAATCACTACTGCTTACGGAGCATCTAGTGCATTCCACGAATTTGTCCCTACTGCACAGAATCCTCTCCACGGTGCTCTAAGCTCTCTCTCTCTCCTGGTTTGTTACAGCTGCAGAAAGCGAAGCTCAATGCGGCAAAGCAATATGGCCGGGGGCCCGGCTGTGGCTGATGGTGGACCCCAAGTTCAAACCCAAAGTCTGAGCTCTTCTTTTGGTGCTAAGCTGCCTCCCAGAGGTGTGGGGATTGCCAAGGGCATCAGGTTGTAAGGCATGGCAACCGTGCTGGCGGTTAATGGAAGCTCCTGGAAGTTCAGAGCTGGTCCATTTGGCAGTGAGAAAGGAACGAGGTTTATCCTGAATTATATATGTCCACACTCTGGGAGATCATCTCTCTGTATGAAGATCACTGTCACACTAGGCAGAAGCAGACCCCTGCCAGACTGATGTTCCCTGGTGTCATCCATCATTGCTAAGTCCTTACCCCTGTAGTGGAGGGGTGGGGCAGCCTGCTGATGGAAACGCACTGCCACAGAGCTGGGCAGGAGAACGCGTCTGTCCGTGCAGGGGCCCTGCTGACTCCTACAGCCAGGCCTTTCTCAGTAGCCCCAAGCAGGGGCCTGGACGAAAAGAAGAGAGTCTGGGATCGTTTCCCTAAGGAATGAGAGTCCTCAGAGGTATGGAGGATGTCAGAGGTCCAGACTTTCCAGGGTGAGTCTGAATGGCGAAGTGGAAACACCTGCTTTGTCCTGCACAAAGCAAGATCCCAACAGCAGCTCTACCACCTGTGAGGTGTGAGGCTTGGGCCACTTTCCCCTATAACCCTGCTTTCTCATCTATAAAGTAGGTGAAAAAATGCCCACTTCGGAGGATTGCTGGGAGAATCGAAGGAGATGCTCTGCGCAAAGTGGGTGCTCAATAAATAACATCACTGCCCTTTCGATGCCTTCGTTCGTTCGTTCAATAATGCTTTTTACTACCAGAAAGGTACTGTGCCATTCATTCGACCAAACCTGTCATTTCATCAGGTCCCAGTAGACTACGCTCCATGAGGACAAGAACCTCACTCTCTTGGCACAGCTCTCTTCCCAGAGCCAAGCCGGATGCCTGGCACACAGCGAACGCTCGGTATTTGCTGAATAATGATCTACCAGGTGCCAGATGCCGTGGCAGGTACACAGCAGACCAGAGTCTGGTGGGGCAGACGCAGAAGCAGAGCGCGCCACCGCACTGAAGAGCCGCGATGCTCCCACAGCGGGAGCAGCAGTGCAGGGTGGTCAGCGAAGGCCTCCAGAGGAGGAGTGGGGATGGGGCTCCGGGCAGAGAGAGCAGAAGGGGCGAGGACACGCAGCAGACAGGGAGCGACAGGCTTGCTCGGGCAGCTCTCGCAAGCTCCCGTTCGTGATGCTTCTGACTCCTGTCTGGTGTTTGGCAAGGGGGAGGGGAGCTTCCTCCTCCTTGCGGGGAGCGACAGGCTTGCTCGGGCAGTTGGTGATGCTTCCGACTCCTGTCTGGTGTTTGGCAATGGGGAGGGGAGCTTCCTCCTCCTTGCCCGCCACTCTGTGACACACCATGACTCCAAGCTGTTTCTGGGAATGGCCCAACTGGTTTCGAGGGGTCTCACTCCAGCCCCATGATAGTACCATTCCCTGCAAGCAGGAAGGGCTGTGTCAGCCGGGAGGGATCACGTCTGATTCAGAGAAAAGTGGGAAAGGCGCCTCTGGGGTGGGTCCCAAACGAAGTTATGGAGTGGAAGAAACTTTTAAGTCGGCTGACAGAATTCACAAGAAGTTAGAGAGCTATTCTTAGTGGAAATTAGTAACACGTGTAGCCTGATTTGTTTTTCTAGAATGAATTGCGACCTTTTCTTTCTTTTTCTGTTTGTTTCAATTTCATTTAAACAAGAGAATGCACTGTGAACTAAGACTTTAGAAGTCAATAGTGATTTATTCCACTGTGAAAGTGAGCACCTGACAGAAGGCTGGGGAAGGAGAAGGAATATACAAGTTTTTCTTCTGTTAACAGTAATTTCTATACAAAAAAATAAATAAAAAGAAGACGCGGGTGATTTATACTGAGGTCCCATGACAAAGCAAACCTACTGCACTTAGGTGAACAGAGATGACGTGACAAAAACGGTGAGATCCACCAATGCCAAGGGCTTTGAGACGTGCTCTTGGGCAAGCCGCCGTTATGTGGATGTGGTAACTGCCATCAGAGCTGGAGCCTAAAATGAGCAAGGAATTACTAACAAACTTTCCACTGGCTAAAATTCCTTGTCCTTTGAAACAATACTGCCACCATGATGCCCAAGTACTGACCAGGGCTGAAACCACAGCCACCGGCAGGGAGGAACCTGCGTAGCCCAGGCCTTTGATGAACGGAGGCCGTAACCTCCTGTTCCCATGATGGCAGGGTTCTCAGTGCCCGCCTGGGAGGAAGCAAGAGGTCCCAAGGTGACTGAGACTCGGCCACTGCCCACGGATGCAGAAAAGACAGCGAAAACCAAGGGGAGGCCACCATGCCTGAAATAAGGTAAACAACACGCTCACTTGGCAGCATCTGGGCTGGGGGCCGCCTCATGGAAGGCGATGCTGTCTGTAGATGGTGGCGGAAGACGTTACAGGTGGAGAAGACGCTGAGCAAAGAGCAGGCGTGCGCCCACAGCCCTGCCGTCAGCCACCCCCCATCACCAAACCCACGGAGCAGGGTTCCTTCTTAACCTGTCCAGGAGGCTGTGTGCTGACACTGCTAAGCCAGCCGCAGCCTTACTCACTGCTTCAGTAGCCCGCTCCCGGAGTCCAGGCTTCCCCACAGCTCACTGCCCGCCCGCCCACGGAGCCCAGAGGATTCCTGGGTCTCCATCCCCGACATCCTCTCTAGACCCCTCATCTGCATCAAGGCGTCGGCTCCTGGCTGAGCGTGAGATGCCAGCCCCTGCTCCTGAGCTGCAGACCACAGGCACGTCTGGACTGGGAGGTTCAAAGTGGACGCGTGTCAACTGTGCCTAAGTCACAGGAGGGAGCGTGTGCTGGAGAAGTAGTGGCAGGGGAGGCCTGAGATGAACTTCACAGTCAGATCCTGAGTCCTCATCAGTGGGTGAGAGACCGAGACTCGGTCTCACAGAGGAAGACGCCGCAGGTTCTCGGAGGACGGCCCCGCACCACCCCCCGTGGCACTCCGGGCACGGAACTCGCCCGACTGAGGAGTTAAAGCTTTCGGAGTGCTAGTTAGATTCCCCTCACTATCCATCTGAATATTTAAATTTATGTTGCCATATTACTTTCCAAAGTATTAAATCTATCTAAAGACCATTCTTTCTCCATTTCTCTTTTCAGTTTTCAGTTCCAGCATTTTGTCTGCCAGAAGCACCGTTAAGTTCATCCACTGCTAATTATGAGTACAAACGCAGGCCCTGGGTACCAAAACTGATGGAGACCAAGGAAAAGTGCAGTTTTCGGGGTCCTGCAAAGAGTATCCTTCTCAGTCAGCACAGGTGGAACGGGGGCTGCACGCCATTGCTCTGTCATGTCACTGAGCACCTGACAGGTGCCCAACAACAACCAGGGGCCCTGAAGTCCCCCTGCTGCCCGTAGCTGGGCCGCGTTTATGTTCTCGCGAGGTCTCGTGAGCAGCTGTGCCAGCCCTGCGGATGCCGCCCGTCCAGAAGCCCCGCTTTACGAACAGCGGACGTGGGAACATCGCAGGAGGATGAACGGGGTGGTGGCTGTTTTACAGAGGGCTTTATGAGGCTTTCTGCAGAGTGAGCCCCTCCCCTGCCTTCACGCAGCCCCAGCGTTACATGATTCACACTGTTAATACATCTTACGTTTCTGCGAACCATGCACTTCGTCCCTGTCCCCGCAGAACGCAGCGTGTGCCAGCCCCTCGCAGCTCACCGAACGCTCCCTCATCCCTCTCTAGAATCATTTCCACACGACATCCTGTGGCGCTGGCATTTCTGCCCCATGTTATAGGTGGGGACACAGGAGCTTCTAGTGGCTCATTGACTCATCTAGGGTCAAACAGCCGGAAAGTAACAAGAGCTGGATCTTGGTCTCGGTGACCTCAGGTCCAGAGACCTTCCGCAGCTGGTACAGTGTGACAAGGACAAAAGGGTTATATGCCACAGATCAATAAGGTTAAATTATTGCTCTTGACCCAAACCAATCAGTTTTGGGATGGCTGTATAACTCTTGATCATTCCTTTTGTTTAAAACAATCACTCCAGTAGCTTAATCTATTACCACAGGCTTTAAATTGTTCTCTGCAGTAGAAATAATATGGCTTCACCGTGTCATTATGCTGAGATGGGTACTCCATTTTCCCCAACAGTAATATCTAATATATCTTGCAGTTAAATTATGAGCAGCAATGATAGCTTAGTTGAAAACCTCAACCCTTGTGACTGTATAAATTATTCACTGAATCGGGCTGAGTTCTGCCCACCTCTAGTGCTGTAGAATCTAGATCAGCTCACAAACCCAGGCACTCTGCTGGGCTCTGCTCAGGCTTCCTGCCGAGACCCCTCCTCGTCTGTGGCTGCAGGCCCTCACTGGGCCCTGAGAAGGAACGGTTCAGGCTGCACCGCTGGCCCCAGGTCCCTCTGAAGGATGGACGGAAACAAGTCACCGTCCCTGGCACAGGCCTCAGCCAGGCGGGGGCCGCAGGGCCGGGCCACACCCTCGCGGTTCTGCCCCGATTCCCTGCACGTGACCCCCGAGCCATCTTCCTTCACACTGCTACTTCCTCTTCGATAAGAACACGACAGGTTCCTCTGTTCAAGTGCCCCCTCGCCTCGAATGCAGATGTCACGAGAATGGCCGAGGGGAGCGGAGACAGGGAACACAGCTTCCTCCTGGACACCTCGTCCTCAGGAATCCCCGACGTCGGCCAGAAGTGTGTGAAGGGGGCCGACTCGCCAAACAGGATGCCCACTGGGGA